AGATACAAACTTATTTCTTTCTTTACCACCTGCAATTCCCTCCCCCCCAGTCCCTCCCAAAAGAGCTTCGTTCTCAAATCACGTTGGTAGGACACATTCAGACATGATGGTGTCAAGTAACAGCGAAGACCAATAAATTATCACTAGAAACATGGTGAGCAAAGTGCTGTCATCGGCTGTTCTGGGACGGATGGGCGGGAAGGAGCCAAGTGGGGACCAGTCAGTTCACTGAGCGCACGGCGCGGTTGCTTCTAGGGAACCGGTGCACCTTGACATGCTTGGATAAGTGGTCGCTTCGCGCAAACTTCTTCTCGCAGATTGGACACTGATATGGTTTCACGCCCGAGTGGGAGCGTCTGTGCCGGGAGAGCTCATCTGACCGGGAAAACCTGCGAGCAGAGATTTGAAAAAAAAAAAGAGCCTGATTTAGACATCCATTGCCAATTCTTGAAAGTCATCGTAATACCCCAATAGTCCCAGGCTACGTGCTTAGAGCTTTCTCCTGCTGAAATAGCCCACGCACCTGGGCTAAGGGAGGAATCATTTGTTAGCAGAACAGGGCACCAGAGCTGTTCTCATTCCATCCAGCAGAAGGTAATAACAAAGCAATCACTCAGTTTTATTGCAACATCTTTGGATGGTTATTCCAATTCAAACTCATTACAATGACAGCAGACGGGCAGTAAGATGCTTACCCAAATGCCCACCTGCAAATGCGCACACACACCATCACAGCACCAGATCCAAACCCCACACAGCTTGGAATTTGGATAACTATGGAAAAAAATCCCCCGAATAGCCATTGTGAACCTCACAGGCCCCATAACATTCAGATAAACTAGCTAATCTTTTAGTTCCAACTTTGGGAGCTGAGGGGTTACCAACATTATGCTAAAATAACCTCCTCTGGGTGGGTGCAAAAGAATTGCTGTCAGATCAAGGGTAATGCTGTTTGCTGCCAAGAGAGTAACAAAGAGTGGCACAGAAAAAGAGCTCCCACAAAAGGATATCAGCTGTTTATTTACAATAAATAAATGAAGTCATGGGCATTTGCTGAATAAATGAGGGGGAGAACATGTGGGAAAATGTGACTTTGTGGCACAACGCATCGCATTACCACTTGGGTAAACACACGGTTTTTACAGAGGGAATAAAGAGCCCTGGGTCTAGGTGCAAAGAGGCTTTCTGGCTCGTGGAAGGAAGTCTGTCCTGCCGGAAGACTATGTTTCCACATAAACGTGTTCACTTGAGATGATTCTGTGGTGCCAGCTGATGGTCGCAATCCAAGTGGTACAAAAATCGGAGTGTTTTATCTCAGATTGGTTTGGTTCCATCTTGCTGTTATCCCACTTTCCTCTACAGAGAGAGAGCCCAGCTGCAAAATCAGCTCCAGATACAGACCCAAACGTGCCTAAAGGTCTTGGGCATCCAGAGGCGGGCGTTTATTGGGCCTCTCTTTAGACATTTCTTTAATGGAGCTTCCCCTTACTTGTTTTCTTCCTGTTTTTACACCTCACCCTGGCCCTGGAAACCCTATGCTGAAGGTATCACCCTTGCTGCTAAGAACAAATGGATATGGTTCCTGAATGAAGCCCATTAACTTAGGGGTTAACCAGGAATCTGATAAGACATTCCCTCCTCCCTGAGGTGCTGAGAACACTTACATCTATAATACTCCTAAGCCTCATGAGCCATGAAACATAAAACTGCAGCCTGGAACTGAACCTGAGTCTCTGGCATTGCCAAGAACAGCTATGGATCTCCAGCACTCCGCTGGCCCTTGGAGGAGTTCTCTTAAGGAGTCAGGAGTTAATTGGACTCCGAGCAATTTTTGGAGCCATTCAACAGGATAGGAAGGGGATGGAAACATGCACGGCTTGAAAGCTGCAGTGGACTTCCCACGATACCACAGCGGCCAGCTGACAAACATAGGATCAGGCATGTTGGATAAGGAACTGATCTGGTTGCCAAGGGAGGTAGACACTTTCTGAGGAGGAAGAGATATCAGTGAACCAAACTTCACGCCAAAGGCTGCTCCTTGCAGCTACTGAGGAGCAAAGCCAGAGGCTTCCCGGCTGCCTTGTCCAAGCCGCTGAATTGTTAAAAGTACTGAATAATGGAAAGAGAAAGTGGAATAGAGGATGATGAAAAACTCAGAGAACTACAGAGGACTGCTCTGAAAACTGCACCAGGGAGAAGGGGGAAGGAATCACATGTTGGAGATGTGTGTGTTACTTAAGCCTTGGAAGCTAATGTGAGTTAATATGATAAAAATAAACTTAGCCTCATAATGAAGCCCTTAGTTAAAGAGGCAGGAATGCTGCAATGCTGTTACCCAGCACTCATGGAAGGATCAACTTACTGGGCCCACAGAAATAAACCCCTGGCTCCCTGTGTGTTTATAAAAAACAACCCAAATGTTAGAACAGGGAAGCTGGCAGAAGTCTACAGCCAGTGGCAGGCAGCAGTTGAGTTCATGTGATGGCCTCAAAGTCTAAGAAAATGAAGCAATTCCAAATGCAAGGAGATTGCAAATGCTAAAGAGGCCTCACTGATGTATCAGCCCAAATTATGCAACACAGGTCTTCGAACACAAAAGCAGGCACAGTTTGGAAAGCCCATTGTAACCAAAAATTGCTCAAGAGCCAGATTCACCCTTCACATACATCTACTGCCATTATTATCTCATTCCCTGTCTCCAGCCTCAGCTGCCACCTCCATTCAGGGACCTGTTTCAAGTTATTTAAACAAAGCGCTTCTGCCTGAGTGAGACCCATGGTAGTAGGGATTGGTTACATCTTGTTGTATCTTTCATTGGTCCAACACATTATTTTGGAGAGCTGCTGGATGAGCTTTAGGACTTCAAGTGTCCATCCTCAGAGCATGCCAACCGTGAATCTAGCAAGATTTCTAATTTTCAGAGTGCAGTTCCAGTCCTGGAATAGGAACAGAGCTCACTGATAATGTACGCCCATTGAATCCAGAGTTTGGGTGGAGTTCACTAGGGACACAGGCACCATCCAGGACTGTGGCATGCATTGTGGAATCAGAGAGTAATTCATATCCAGGGAGACAGGAAGGTTTATTTTAGGGCCGTCTCTCATTCATCCCTGGCTATGGGGAGGGATAAGAGTATCTCCACCTGAGGGATTTATTTGAAAGGTAAAGTTACTGTGGATTTAGGACGAGGCCTTCAGCATTCAGAGTTTCCCATTCAAATTCAGAAGCAAAGCAGCCCCACAGCTAGCTGAATAGCAATGATGAGCATGACTTGAGGAAACAGAATTTAAATGCAGTGTTCAAAGGTGCTATTTAAAAGATCTGCACCCTGGAATAGAAAAGAATTTGGAGATTGGCGTTATTTCAGCTCCTGAGGGTTGAACTACATTTTGGGAGCATTACAGAAGGGCATGAAGGCACAGAACCAAAACGAGCAATAAGACAAAAATATCCAAGTGTCTTGAGTTCCGCAGGTTGGCTGCAAGTTACCTAACAAAGTATCCCCTTTGGTCCCTTTAAATGTGTTGGCTTTTAAGGTTTGCTTTGTGCTCCGACTCTTCTTGGACTTGTATTATGAGAAAGGGAAAACATAACTGGCCTTGTCTGGCCTATTTATTTTATACACCTCTCTTTTGTATATGCAGGTCAGGGCACCACTTACTGCAACCTGGACCCAAACCTGACTGTGGCTCTGGGGAGTGACTGTAACACAAACAACAGTGAGCAATATCAGCTCAGATCATGTCACCTAGATCTCTACCCAGAGAAGGGTGATGGCAAGCATATCTCCCTTGGCCTCCCCGTGTTCTCCAGCACTGTGTGCATCTACAGGGCTCGAGAAAAGCACAGTCCTGGCAGGGTAAGCTCTCTTTACACAGAATTAAACATTTTTATATAGTGCAAAAGTGCTTAAGGCAATTACAAATCATGCTCAGTGGTCTTATTTACATATTTGGGCCATCTTAGAAAATGAGCAGGAAATTCCAGTGACCTGACTATAAAGATGTCAGTGTCTGGATCTTCTTCCTGGGAGGTCACCCCTAATTCAGACTCCTCAGCACGGTTTATGAGCCATTGAAATTGTTATTCTCAAAGCTCAGTAGGTTGCATATGTTCATACTGAAGTTGCCACATACAGTATTGAAGACTATAGGGCAACGATTCTCAACCAGGGTGTGTAATACCCCCGGGTGAATCGCAATCCTTTCCAGAGTGCTGCAGGGTGCCACACAACGTTAGCATTGATAGATGTGCAAACATGATTCACAAGATAAATCCATAGATTTCCAATAGGAATTCAGCATGTTAAAAGCATTCTGACCTATTGTGGGCTTTCTAAGTTTTTTGCAACAAAAGAAATTGCTCCTTCTGTAGTCAAAAGTC